AAAGTACTGAACAATGCTGAATTTGTTTTTCAGTACCAATATTATTAAAATGATTTTGTATAATTAAAGCTACTTTCAATATTTAAAAAATGATAATTAACAAGATTCTTTAATTCTATAAAGAAACATTTTTTCTTCAATGATGTAAGCAATTTAATTTTTCCCTTAATATTTCAGTTTTTATTTAGTCTGAATGATAGATTTTTACACATAGGATTAATCCATTTCGGCAATATTATTTGGGAGGCTTTCTTATTCTTTTCCTATTTAAATGATTGTTTCAATTTGTCCTGAATATACAATTAATTTACCAATAATTATTTTTTCTTCGTATGAATTGCCATAATTTGTTTGTTACATGACATTCATTCAGTGGTAGGTGTTTAGGCATAATCAGAACGAATATATTCGACGTCATTTTACCAAATTTAGTGGAAACGAAAGTGTATGGTATTTTAATACACGACTTTGCTCTTCTTCATCAGAAAGTCAAGGTGAGATAAAACGCATGTTAGATATCAAATTAAAGAATAAAACTGTGTTAAACAGTTCACCGATGTTGATGGTAAATTATTTAAACCTTTTTGCATATGTTCAAGGTAATTTTCTTCTTGGAATTAATTTTCTGCAGTATTCACGTTTCTTGCATTTGCCTTTATACTATTGTTCAGACTTGTCAAATGTCAATTTTGAGTTTATACAAATATGTTATATACATTGTCGCGATCATAAAGGTAAAACCGTGACAGTATGGACAACAGCAATTCGTATCTTGTTAATAATACTGAATCATTTACCTTTAACTTCTTTGTCATCGGCTATCGATAACAATGATTTTAAGCTCACACAGTCTGTCAGAGGCCTTCCAGTGGGGATTTAGATAATCACTTGTTACACATTTCGAAAGTTTTTTTTTCACATACTTTAAATGAATTATTCTTTATATCAGCACACCGAACAGTTTCAATTTAAAGAATGATAAATGTTCAGAGCTAATATATTTTAAAAATACATTTACACATGAGGTTATTTTACCAACTATTGTACGAATGATGTAAATGTTGTAATATGCCTTAAAGGTGTATTGCTTTTGGAAATAAAGTATTATTATTATAATGTTAAACATCCATGAATATAAAATCTAATTTTATACAAATTTAAACATATGGATCTTTACCAATTCAAATGTGTAGAAACATTTGCACTCTTTATATCACAGAAGAGCTCTGTCAACACTGCAATAGATCTAAGTTTTTTTTCCCATGATAAGCATGGAAAGGTCGTTACAAAATAAAAAGAAAAAAGAAAAAGAAAAGAGAGTTATTCTTTTTTTCTAACCTTGTCATATATATATATATATATTAAGTTATAACAAAGTCAACATTCATTAAATTATACTATAACTTTTACATTTATTTTTCAAGCTGACACATTTACCAGTTACCAGGTGGTTTGAAAAAGTTCTTATATGTGATTGAAGGACTTGTGTTGTATGCGCACTGATAGGTAAACCATGTAACCCTGAAAAGAGAAATCTTGATCTGATATAGAAAATTGATTTTAAACGTGAAATATTACTGCTAAAGCGACAGTTATATTTCCCCCAAAATTCAGTCGTGCGTAAATTTAAAGCCATTTAGGTAATTTGATTCAGTTCACTTTCAGTGTTTTGAAAAGATCCTACAAATCATTCTTTCTGATGAAGGTAAATCCAGAAAAGCTCTTTGAACGCACGAAATTATCTAACGTGTTGTTTTCATTTTTTACAACACTGGGTCGATACCTCTGCTGGTGGACCACCAGTCCCCGAGAGTATCATCTGCATAGTAGTCAGTACGTCGGTGCTGACATGATTTATAACGAACCTTTCTAAGGGAGCTACCATTTGATTTTTATTTTTTTTTTAAAGTTTATCCTGACTTTTTTTTAACTAAATTGTCATCCTCACTTTTTTTTTGCAAGTGTCTCATCCTGCCTTTTTTTTTACTCAAAACTCCTGTCCTGACTATTTTTTTCAAATTTCATCCTAGCCCCCTCCCCATAAAAATCAAATGGTAGCTCCCTAAAATTGCCCGTTTATAAATTTTGGAATTATAGATGGATTTGGGTATTTTTTAGGTATTTGTTTGTCATATAGCTCTACAACTGTTTCGGTTCATATACATCCTAGGCTCTCAAATTTTCGGCTTTGAGCGTTCCTAATTAAGGTAAATTCAGAAAGGGCTTCATACGCATGAAATTATTTAACGTGTTGTTTTCATTTATTATTGTATTCTTATTCTACGATTTCGGACGTACGTTTATCGGCTCTATCTTTTTTGTGGTCATTTTGAAACGATAGGTAACATTAATGAAGCCTCTATACTATTTTCTTTTTTTTTATGTAATGAACTTTCAGTAACAATGGCTTATATATCTTCAGTAGTCGATTAATTTTTACTTCTGCAAGTTGGATTCTAGATCTTTTTAATCATTTACAAGGAGAATGTCAAAATAGACGGGCGAGAACCAACCATCGGACCCTTGGTTCAATTTGCGTTTAGGATTAGAGCTAGTGAAAGTAATAGGTATGTGTATGGTTAAGGTTAAGGTTAAGAATAAACTCATCATAGATGCCAGGATTCGTCCACAAAAGACTCACCAGTGACGTTCAAATAAAAAAAAAGTTAAAAAGGCCAAATAAAGTACGAAGTTGAAGAGCATTGAGGACCCGAAAAGTTATTGCCAAATACAGCTAAGGTAATCCTTTCCTGTGCTATGTGTTAGGATCAGCTTTGTATAGCTTTGTATGGGTTGCAACCCCTGAAGTAAAAGAATGTCAAATTATATTCCAGGTTTAAACTTGAGCTACATAATGTGGTTATATTTTACTACTCTCCTTACGATTAGAACATACCGTTTATACATGTAATATATATTTAGAGAATATAAGGAACTGATGAAAGCCTTGAATTATTTATTATATATACACATAGTTTTGTAAAACTAGAGTTATCATTCTTTTCCCTAACAGATATATAGGATATTTTAAAGGCCCGAACGATTGTGACTACGTTAATACAAACCCGCCATCAGGAGACCAAGATGTGGTCATGAACTTCCCTTTATCTACTCTAAAAATCCGTCCTTGTGGAAGTTTGTCATTATAAGCAAGTCTGCAATCTTTTAGGGAGTACTGTATTCCTAAAGATATTTTAGTAAAAGTTCAATTAAATTAAAGAACTAAAATGTTTAAACATAAACATCGATACGATACTTGACTTTCACTACATGATTACATGGTACATGTAACTTTAGCTGATTTCATTCCTGTTGGTAATGCTACCTTTATACACATTTGGTTCTTTAAACTCTTGGAACTCAGCTTTAACGTTCCTTGGGATTGATTAATCATAAAAGTGCTTCCAATACACACAGCAAAATGAAAAAATAAAACATTTTGACTTATTCTGCAGTGTGTAATATATGTTCGGAATCTTTTGTTCATTCCAATAAAACGAAAAAAGTTTTGACTGTTTGCTTGATATCAGAAATTGACCTCGAGACTGCATTATAGCCTGCTGGTAAATAGTTGTGCCGTACAAAATCTTGTCAAATAAAATAATTAACATTTAGACCATGTGATTTTCTTATTTTGTGTATTCAGTCTATTGACGTCAGTCCAATTGGTTGCAGTTTTATATCAAGCATTCGACTTTCTTTCCTTGACGTGTGAAACACAACTTCTATGATATTTCATGAAAATTTATAGCCGACCGTACGAGACCCTCATGGGTAGTCAATGTCGTTAACACCCCCTAGTAGTATGACAATACAATTTTGCAAAAACACATGTAATGTAAATTTCAAGTACGGAAAAAAAACCTTAACCACTCGCGTAATATATGTGCCTAAATGTTTGATAGCATTTCATCCCGTTCCCATCTATACAAAATACAATACCAATTCATGCTTTCGTCATCCTGACTGAATTATTAAATATTTTTGTATAATTGGTAGCTTCATGATTATCTTTGTGTTTCCTTCCAGTTGTTAGACTATGAATGAAAATATAACTCTTCAAATAACACAGGAAAAAGGTTCGGGCATCTTTAATTTATATATAGATATACAAATATGTAAATGGTTTTGGAGGCTTGACATGTTCGCCTTTATAATGTGGTTCCAAGATCATTTAGTTTATACGCAATATAATGCTTGCAGACCCGTAAATCGCGTTTCAGATCTTATTTGATTAAGTTTGACGTACTTGGAAATTAATGGTAGACATATCCTGATAATTTTAAAACCAAATATTCAAAATATCACCAGATTTCTAGAACCAGTTTTCAACATTTGGTGTCATATAGTGCTATAAAAATCATTAGTTTGTTGAACACTAGCGTCTTGTCAACGATTGTAGCTTGAATGTTCTCAGTATATGTGTAGCGAGTGTAGAAAATATTATTTTACAAAACAATGTACATGTACGATAACATTGCAACAACATATCCATCTGCAAATAATCTTGTTTTACTGAACATTAAGTAAATAGAATCGTTGCCATGTCATTAGAATACGTGAAGGAATGAAATAAATTGATTTGATTTATGCATGTTTGTTAAGGATGTACTTAGGTCAGGTTAAGGAGTTTTTGTCAGATGATCGAACTCCTTGGTTTTTTTCCTACTATACAGGGTAAAATATTTTGCCCCATAACACCCATTTTTTTTTCATATAAAACTTCAATAGCTCATAAAAGGTCATTTACCAAAATTTAAGCAGATTCTAGATTTCTTTTCTTTTGATTTGAGACCCAAAAAAATACCAATGCAAATATAAGGTAAAAGTCTGAGTCAGCCTTTTCCCGCCATTTAAAAAAAATTAAATATCTCGAAAATATATTTTTAGCTTATTTTGTTCCTTAACTAATGCTCTTTTGACTTATAGTATCAATTTTAAATTTTAGATTTTTTTAATTTCAACTAAGTACATCCTTATTAAGAATATTATATATTTACCTGGCTCTCTACAACATTTTAGCATTCGTTTCAAACCTAGGTGGAACCAGCCACTATAGTAACCATATTTAGGACACTGAAAAAAATTGCTCACCGTGGAATCTACCAAAATAAAACGTCAAATATAACACATATCTTTATGAGCCGCAAAAATAAAAAAAAATGTTAAAAATCAGGAATCTATATATTGAACTAAAATTAAAACCACATATTTTTTCATTGTATACAAGTAACATTTGAACAATTTGTGTGTTTCAGGATTAATCGCTGATTCTTAAATATTAAAAAAATATTTATTATATAATATTAAAATTTAGAAACCAGGAAATCTTATGTATTAATCATCACTATCATTACTTTGAAAAAATAAGGATACGGAGTTAATAGACTGGTGAACAAAGTGTTTTCTTTCATTTACTCTTTATTTCAATAATAGTTTGATTATACATTTGCAGATTTTTTTTTTACAATTTATTCTACATTTAAGTTTCAAAGTTAAAATCGTTAATGCATAATGAAGTATTCGTCTAAATCAAATACTTACGGAAAATTTTACACTTAACATTTTTGCCAGGCCCAGGTCCAGGTTTACATGCGATTCGATCTTGATCTGGAAAAACTTGATCTGGAACATTGCCATCTGGACACATTTGTATCCTCTTATAAGGTCTCATCAGGACTCTAGTTCCATTTGCACTTTCGGCAAAAAGTATTGCCAAAAGCGCAAATATTAAACCTTTATCGGTAAAAGAAAATATCAGTTCTCAAGAACAGTAAATCTTGAAAAAATTACAAACTCAGACAATATTGGCAGATTTTGCTGAAGAGACATCAAGCAGCTGGGGAAAGCACATGCTGGAGTATTCCAACTGTCCAATTTTAGAAATTCTAACATATCAAACGTTTTAAGCAATAACCATGATAACAAATTTTACATTTTTTATAAATTTAGTTTCAACCGATATGAGAATCTTCAAGTTTATGTTTTTTTACGTTATACATACATCATCTTCGTTGATATAACAAACATCAAAGTATATAAGGTCAAATAGCGATAGTACCAAAATATACACAACATGAGATGTTCTTACTAGTACAGTTGTCTGCAACTGAATAATATGCTTTTGTTTTGTTTTGACCATACCTAGTGGTATGTGTCATAGACACGGAAGTAAGTATACTAATTTTTGCATGAACCCTATTGATAGTTTTTGTAGTCTTTCGAAATACCGGAAGTGCCTACTGGTTTTTTTTCGGAATACATCTGTTCTTTTCTATGGCCACCTGCGTAATAGGTAATTAATTTATCTAATGAATATGTATTGGCGTTCTACAGTTGCTATAGAGATAAGTGTTAATCGAGGCTGGTTGATATCCTACAAAAGTAGTTAACTAAATTAGAGTCGCGGCGTACGTTCAGTTTTCTGAAATAAATGTGTGTTCACATTGGCGATTAAGTGACCGTTAATGGATAGGGCGTTTTTAAGATTTTTAAACCAAGCCATTTTAGCGTGATTGAAAAAGAGCAGTCCATTAAGCAGCAATTAAAATTCTACGTCCAGGAAAGATACAAACCAACAAGGAGTTTCTTAAATTGTTCCTATTTTGATTGAAATAGCAAAAATGGAATAATTATTAGAAGTCCATTACTTGAATTGGTAAAATGTTGGATATCCTTTATCTTTATCGAAATACAAATTAAAATAAATAGGAAAAAAAATATAGAAAATCAAACTGAACCTTAGAATCGTTGAGATGTTTAAAATACAGATATAAGATGCAATAACGAAACATTATAATTTTAAAGTTATAAACATATTTTTAGAGGTATGATGACGATTCTGAAAGAATAATAAATGTTTGGGCGTGAAGTCTGTGATGTCAGATATTATGCATATGTAATAGCAGTGATGAAATTCTAATACAGGGTCAGAGATAAAATAACGAATGTCTAGTTTTATACAGACTGAGTGATGTAGATACAGTCAGAGTTAAGATACTAGTAATGAATTTCTACTTATAGTAATTAAGGTTTTACTTTTTTATCAAAATAAAGATAAGGAAACGAAAGCAATAATAAGACAACTCAATGGCATCAGGCAGTTAGTTTTCTCGTATGAATTGTTTTACATTTGTCATTTCGAAGCCTTTTATAGCTTACTTTGCGGATTTTGCTAATTTTTGAAGGCCGTACGGTGACATGTATTGAGTTGTAAACTTCTACGTCATTTAGTCCCTGGTGGAGAGTTGTCTCTTTGGCATTCATGCAACATCTCCCTTTTTAAATAAAGAAACCATACTAAATCTTATTTAAAAATGCAAGTTAACACTGGAAATTACGATGAAATTTAAAGGCGCCTTTTAGGTGCGTTAAAAGCAGAAATTATTTGTCATATTGAAACAGTTCATAAATAAATATGCGTTTGAGTCCTTAAAATAATACTATAGACATGAAACGATTTACAGACACACTGAGTGATATTCTTTGTGATAGGTGACCCCCTCCCCAACACACACACAATCAGACTTAAAGTTGAAATAGCGGGTGGACAACGTCATGTCCCACATAAAGAAGAATCAGTGCAAGATTCTTCTGGGAATTCCGTCAATGTGTTTTCAAGGAGTTGAGGCAATCTCTATTCATAAGCGAATTTAAAGGGTCTAGTTGACAGAGGCCTGGAACCTTTTTGGTAACACAATAGGACGATTTCTTAAAGTTTGTATTCATACGCAAAAAATAGCACAACTAAGAAACAAATGTTTTTTTTCTCAAAATCAATTTCCGTATTCAACGGAAATGCGATCGCAAAAACCGGATTTTTAAATAGCGTACTGGACATGAGCTATATTAAATTGGCACAGTTATTACTGCTTCCTTCTGTCTGTCACACAATCGTATAACAACAAGAGATAAACATCTTCATTATATTTTGGCTAATTCAGAAAAGGCCAAGTTATGAAATGAAAAAGTGAGATTTGTTTGAACAAACTGATTTAAGTATAAAGCTGAGGTTTCAAACTATTTCTACTGTAAAAACCTGATTGGAGTGTGTTGCCTTGTGTATAAATAAATTGAGATCAAGCATATCTTGAATATGATAGCCAATGACCAAACCATATAAACCAGTGTAATTGGTTTTCCAAAACGGTTTTAGTTAGGAATTAACAAGTAAGAATATAGCTTAGGGTTTTGAACTATTTTCAAACTAGCTACAAAAACAAATAATCATGATTCATTTGTTTTCTTCACAAAAAGACTGTTTTCACATTTACATGTCGACTTTATCCAGGAAGCTATCTCATATTCCCAAATCAGCACCTCAAAATGGAACATACAGTGGTTGTCTCCTATTTGGCACGTTTTAATCTTATCTATTGTAAAAGAGAGGAATGGGAGAGAGAGGAATATTTTCTTTGAGAAAATTATACCCATTATTGAACAGCAGTGTGTCTACATCTTATATAAAAAATGAAGTAAAATCAAACATCTTTATTTAACAATTATTTGATCTTATATACCAAACCGGCATGTAGGTTCACGATTGCATTTCTTTTTTAAAGAAAACAACTTATAATCTTTTATATTTATAATTTTAGTTTTATCCTACTCACTAGGTTGAATCCGCTGCTCTCCGTGATGTTCATTCTAGCAACGTTAGTAGCCACGATCCTCTAGTGGCATGACAAAAGGGTGTATTTCTGCATTTTCAACACTGAGGTTGTGAGTGCGAACCCTGTACGTGGCAGGTGCAATCGACTCCAATCTTAATTGACTAGGATTGTCAGTTTTCCTACAGAAGGTCGGTCGTTCTCTCCGGTCACTACGGCTTCCTCTACTCATAAAAAATGACCACCACGAAATAGGTAATGGGGCTTAAAGTGGCGTTAAACACCAATCACTTAATTATTCAAGGTATGTAATTGCACTAAAACTACAGCTCAATTAGTCAACGGTGACTTGGAGGATTTTTTTCTTATCAATTAACATTTATATATAAGCTCTTTTGGTTTAATGCTTTTAAGTCTCCAATGTGACTAATATAAATGGTTTGAGTAACACGTTTCGATGACAGTAAGATGCGTATGTGCTTATTTTATCGTGTTTTTTTCTAAAGTTAGCACCGCTACTTGAATAATGTCGTTCTCCGAGTGTCCAATCCACCCTGTAGCCGGTGCGTCGGTACTGGAATGATTTAAAATTTATATATCTTGTTAGTAAATTTATCTTTCATAAATTAGATAAATCTACCAACCAAGAATTAAATTTTCAGCGTTAATCATAAGGCAAAGCTCAGTTTTGTTTAATGTTTTGTTTAACCCGCCCTTTTAATTGTGTGCTAGCAAACGATATATCTGTCCTGTCTCTGATCCTGATTGTACACGATTACGGATTTCAATGTGTTATGGTTAACAGTTTGCCAGTTATTGTATTTATATTTCATAAGGTTTAATTATGGAATAATTCTTAACTTTATCATTAAAGGGACATTAGCTACGAGATATGAAAAAAAAAAAATAAGATTTGATTTTTTTTTGGTTCAATCATTAATGAAAGTGAAATATTGAAATAATAATTCGCTTTTTGCAGCCAGTTTGGTTCAATTTTGTCAAAATAAGCTAAGAAATATCGCTGATGAATTTTTCACTTGAAAGTTAATAATTCGACCTCATAGAATCCGTATTCATGTGACCTTTTATTCAACTCCTTAGCTAGAGATAGGTTACGCATGTTCAGCTTTTAAAAGGATAAGAATGTCAACATTGAAAATGAAACAAGGATAAATCATTTGATTGACTGATTCGATCCACAAAAACTCATTCTTATACAGGTAAAAACGATGATTAACATATTTGTTTAATCTATAACATGAAATCAAACAGGCCTAGAAAAATCCAACTGTACGTGTTCGCTATTTATTTATATCTATATTTATGTTTATATCGGGTTATATGACCGTTGACAGTCTTCGGAGGTCATCTCGTTGGTTAATAAGATGGCGTCTAGACTTTTTGTAAGTTGGATATACGTTTTAGTAGGTTATAAATCACATATGAGATTTTGAATGAAATCGGTGAACTTGAATTTGACAGCTAATGCCCCTTTAAAATCGATTTTATGTAAATTCATTACAGTTTTATTCACCGTTTTTGTTTACGACTATGGAATTCAGAAATTTAGTTCTTTCAACAGTTTGTTCTTTTTTGAATATGATTAAGTAGCAGTCTGGCTAAGAAACATGCAAAATGATGAGATAATAATACACAGTGTATCACAGAAATTTACTATACTTTTTGTATTGAAAGGTCTTGTGAAATTAGTACTGACTTTGTAATATTAAACCATTCAACACAGTATATTTGTCTTGGTACTATATTGAATGTTTTGAAAATATGAACTTTCCCCACTTATTCTAGTATAGAAATTTCACTATTTTCTACAAAGGCCGGATGTTTTAAGGAAAATTGTTAAATCCAAACTAAAGAGAATATTTTTCTTTAACACATATGAGAAAATGAAATATGTAGCCTTATACTGGTTTTGAGTAAATTTGGTTTTATTTTAGAGTAAACATGATCTAAGAAAGATAACTCTTTCTATGAAAGATAACTCTTTCTATGAAAGATAACTCTTTCTATGAAAGATAACTCTTTCTATGAAATATAACTCCCTCACACATAAAAACAGTTGCCATGTGACTAAAACATATTCAAGGTCATTATCTAAATGGAATTAAA